AGAAAGGACAGCTGCAGTGGCTCTGCACACACTCCACACGCTGCCTCATGTGGACAACCCTTGGACAAGGGTTCGAAACCCAGGCCCCCACACTGGCTTCCTGTGGAAGGCCTCTACCCTCTGGACGGTGTCTGCAGGCCAGGTAGCTCAGAAGGTCTCTCAGAGCACACTGGCAGCTGTCTGATATGGTCAGAAAAGATCCTGTGATCAGTGAGCCCCTGCTAGGCAGGAGGGGCTGCGGTCTGGCCTGCTGTGGGGAGCAGCATCTCTCGGTTAGTCAGTGTGGACGAGCTCGGTAGTAACACGGCAAGCCGTTCTTGCCGGAGGACCCCAGCACCCAGGGGTCACAGCCACCTCCCAGAGTGCCGGGACACTGCAGACCCAGCTCTGTGTCTGCCCCGCCCTGACGACACGGTGACCGCACTGTCATTTCTTGCAGATTGCATCAGTAAACATGGGTCTCCGTACAGCAAGAACCCAGGCTTCGCCACGTGCGTGCAAAGTAAGTCTGTCCCTTTCTGGCCTTAAAGCTGAGTTCGGCAATTGGGAGGCTGCTGCCTCTGCACTTATGAGGGCCTCGGCCATAGAGCATGCCTGCTCACCAGAGAAAGGGGGAGAAGTGAGAAATCCTCCCGGGGAGGCGGCCACACCACAGTCCTTCTCCCTGGACTCTGGGCACACGCACACGCCCAGTGCTTTTCAAGCTACCAGATCCAGTACTCGAGCCTCGGTCGGCTGTGTGGGGTCCAGCACCGGGACCACTGTGCCCCCAAGGATGCACATTCTGTTTCTTGTTTTGTTTGTTTGTTTTAGTGGGGGCAATACGAACCCAGGGCATGCGAGGGTGTGACGTGAAGGCACCCCCCATGCTTCTGCCGGCCCCGGCGTCATTTCCCGGGACGGCCCTGCCAGACGGACGGCAGTCTGCGGGGCGGACCTGCCCTGCTCTGGTCCTCACCCTGTCTTGGAAGCCCCTCGTCGGCAGGAGCAGTTCTCGCGTCGCGTTCGCCCTTGCTGCCCGGGCGCAGCGGCTGCTCCAGGCTGTTGTTAGACGTGAGCTCAAGTGGGGGCCGTGCTGCCCCTCCCACGTTGCGGGCGTCCCGAGACAGGGCCGCAGTCAGACGCGTCTCCTGTTCCCTGTGCACGGACACTGCCGGTGTCACTGCGTCGCCTCCGTCCTCGCTCCGGCAGGGTGAGCGGCAGCGCCCACCCACTGCTCGACTAAGTGGTCTAAACTTCTTTCTCCCAGCGTGACAGGGAGAAGGCGCCATCGCGCTTCCTCCAGCTTCATGCCAGGAGGCTGGCCCCTGAGCTCCCGCTCTGCCTGCTCCTCCCGTCTGCAGGAGTCCTCGGCACGTCCCCAAACAGCCTTTTGTGCTGAAGGCAGTCTTTGCCCAGATTGTCACAGCCTTTTCAGTGATTGCCAGGGTGTGTGTGCTCCCAGAGACGGGGACAGGGATGGAGAGGGAAAGCGTGCCCCTGGGGCGTGCTCACACCCCGATACGTCCTCACCGCTCCTCGTCCTGTGAGATTTAGGGCACAGATGTGCCAAGTATGTTCCAGCCACAGGGACCAGGACTCGAACTGTGGTTGGCCATGTGGTCTCGGCCCCCTTAACCACTAGGCCACAGGGCCAGCCCCGAGTCCTGTTTATTACCGGTACTGCTCCTAGGTTGTGCTAGACTGACACTGAGGTGTCCCGCGTGGATTTCAGCTCACAGACTCGGTGGCCCCCAACCTGTGGGGACTCACCCGTCCGCCTGCCGTCCTTCTGGGCACAAGGCCTGCTCTGAGCTAGGCACCCTGGTCCCCGGCTGTGGGCAGCTCGGTCCCCAGGAGCCCCTGGTGCTGGCTGTTTCTGCGGTGACCACTGCACGGGCAGGCAGGGAAGACCAGGCCAAGAGGCACAGGCTGGTTCCTGGGCTTGGCCTCGGACCTGGCCATGGAGCGGTCAGAGCCTTGAGTGGAGAGGGTGGCTTCGACCGCCCCAGCCGACTGGTGGGCAGCCCCGCTCCTGCCCCTCACGTGGCCCCGGCCTCCTCCCAGGCGACCCAGACCCCAGACCCCGCTCACGCTACGCTCATGAAACCATGAGCAGGGGAAGGAGCAACCTGTGTGTGGGGTAGGGGTGCCCTGCGCATGGCTAGGCCTACCCTGACAGCAAGTCACACAGGGCAGGTGGCTGCCCCCCGGCAAGCTCTGTGACAAGGGACCGAGGCTCCCATAGCTCGGAGGAGCCAGAGCGGCCCCTGCCTGTGTGTGCTGGCCTGGAGCCAGCCTGCCCCACCCTGGCCTGCCTCCACAGGGGTCAGCCCGTGACCTTGGCCTCCGAGGGATTAGAGGTCAGCCCCATAACCTTGACCTCTTCTAAAGTCAGCTCCTGACCTCCGCCTCCCCAGAGGTCAGGAGTCAGCCCATGACCTGGGCCTTCTGGGGGTCAGGGTCACTCTGACGCAGCCAACCTAGGGACTGGCCTGTGAGCTCTGTGGCGCTTCAGGTCTGGCAGGCCCAGGAGTGTCCCAGCAACCGGCCTCGCGTCGTCTGACTTTACTTTCAGCAGACTGTTCTGTCGCTAATTCGGAGCTCCAATGTTCAGCCGGCTCTAGCTCCCGGGTGTGCGGCCTTCTCGGAGGCGAGAAGGCCGGGCAGTGTGACCGTCTAATGCCAACTGGCAGCCACGGCTGAGGCAGGGCCTCGCACCCACGCACCCGGCTCCACCCCACATGTCGGAGGGCTTGTCCTGAGCACGGCAGGTCGTTGCTCACGAGCCCACCCGTGTTCGATGCCATGACTTCGGCGTGTGCCCCGGCGGGCCGGTCCCACCCTCATGCCTTCCCGGCCATCACGCCTATTTCTTAATGCGTATGAAACCCTGAAGGTACGTAGAGACCCGAAAGCCCCTTCACGACCCGTGGATTGGACTCGTCCTGAACGCACTGGTGACACATCTGAATGACGTGGTTTCCATGGCAGGACGTCCCTTCCCTGGAAGAGCCTGGGCTCTGGTTCCTCGAGGCACGTCTTCATGGGGCCAGGTCCTGCTAGTGAGGCTGGGTCTTCCCGCCTCGCTTGGCCAGCCATCGCCACGGTGAACTTGGCCCAGCTGCTGTTTTCTGGCTGGTCTGGGTCCCTGCCGTGTTGCGATGATGGTGGTCCTCCTAGTGGGAGTCGAGACAGTCCTCCTACCGGTCCTGGGCAGCCTGGAGGAGGTGGCCAGGACTGGGACTCCCGGGGTCTGTTCCCTTAGTGGACAGAGGATGAGCTCAAGCCATAGCTGGAGCCAGAGGCCTCAACGCAGCTGCAGCAGTCCGGCCCGCCCCGGGGCAGAGCGCAGCCAGACTGCCCTGCTGGCGGTTCCCGGCCATGCGGCCTCTTGCACCCTTACTCACAGACTCCCACGCCCAGAAAGCCATCCCGTCAGCGCATCGGGGACTGGGGTGATGCTGAAGGGCATCGGTGTGAGGCCACACCCGGCCACGAGCCGCAGGAGGACCAGGGGGCACTCGCCGCCCACTCTGGGACAGGATGTGCCGCGGACAGCAATGCGTGCAATGCTGCGTTTTGCTCATGGCGTCCTTCATGGACGGGACTTTCTGTTCATGGGTGCTTTTCACAGCTCGAGTTTTCGGTGCTCATTTGCATACTTGCCAGGGTGCAGATTTGGGGCACTGCCGTGGCAGGGGCTGACCGGAGGCCAAGACCAGGGACGGAGTGCCCCCCGCTCTCACGCCACAGAGAGCCTCGGTCTCCACCCCTGTCCTTACCTCCACCCCTGTCCAGACAGTGCCTGCCCTGGACACTCTCGCTGTGCCTGGCACCTGTCCAGCAGGGGTATGGGTGCTCAGGTTTGTGTTCCTGCAGCCCCAGCTCTCCCACCGTGGTTGGCCAGCCCCAGATGGCTCTCCGGGCATGAGTGCCCCGGCAGAGAGAGCAGTGCCCTGCTGGTCTTGGCCAAGACAAGGGCCTAGAGCAGCTGCCCAGCCCCGACACCTGCAGCCCGGGACATAGCCTGTGCCCGTTCCCCACAGCCGCACCCTCAGCATGGCTGGTGGGCAGG